CTCACTGGGATGCTGAGAGAATTAAGTTAGCATATGAAAAATACTCTGCACAGAGTTATCAATTATTATTATATCTTCTTTATATGCCTTGTAGATATGACAGTAATTATAATAATTTCAGATAGTCCTCTGTTGTTAATTCACCAGCTTTTGGTAGGTACATTAAGATTCTTCACTTTGTGATGATAAAATGAGGAATTCAAGAGAAACAAAAAGAAACAAAAAGAAAAAAAGAAAGTTTTCTTTGGGTGTGGGATATGCGTAGGCACGGGGCTCTGCCCAATGTGTCTCCAGGTGAAGGCTTGTGTTGCTTCCCAGCACCACTGGACACCAGGCAATCTACTACTAACCTTCACTTATGTAACTCTAGAAGGTAGAGGTTAAGCAAGAATCCAGGCAAATGTGCTGGTGTGAATCACCAATTAGGATGATCTAAGTTATATCGACATGGTTTCAAGCCCACAGACCTGTGGCATCACCACGGTGCTTTACAATAATGAAATTTTTCATATTATGGGCAAATAATTCTCAGCTAATTGTCTCTTTTAATGTGATATAGTCTAATGAAGTAAGAATGACAAATATTAGCAGCAGCAGCAGCCGAACTATTTCATAAATAATAAAATGGATTCGACATTCTACCCCTGAAATGATATTCTACCTTTTAAGTTTCCAAGTTCTTAAAGTATTACCGTATTCATTTCTTAACTAATTTGATAAATACGTATTGTTTATGTATTGTGGCCAAAGCGATGAACTTAACTAGAAAAGAACAAGTGAGATCTCTGGTACCAAGGAGAAAAAATCCAGGAAGATACGCAGCTACTCCATAGATCTATTATTAACAGAGTCATGGTCATAATAGTAGCTGTGAGTGTGAAGGACCTTTTGGACAAAGTCGTCACAGAGGCACCGTTGTTTATTATGTTTATTCATGTGCAAAAGATCAGATGTAAAATAACAGAGTGGTGTCTTGAAGAACTCTGATGTGACTGGAGGAATAAATAAGAGGGATGGTAAATAGGAGTAAAAGGAAGTGTAATGGTGAAAGGGAACATTCAAAGGCAAATAAAAGGTATATTGTACAATAGCATCAATATCATCTAGTCCTGAGAAGACCAACCCATAAAGAGCTGTTCTTGGTTCTGAGGGAAAATGCAATGGGAGAAATCTTCAAGGTGCTCCCTATTAATTATTACTTGGAACCTAAGTTGCCAAATGAGAAGTGTATGTTTAAAGAGACCATCACTGTGTGACTGTCAGCATTGCAGGCTAAGATGTACTGTGCCACCCTGATGGTAGAATCCTCCCCTGATACAAACATTTTGTAAAGCTAGTAAAGGAGGATGGGATCCCAGACTGATTGTGGAGAAAAGACGTACCTAAAAGTTAAAGCAAACCAGAAACAAAAAAAAAAGGGCAAATACAAGAAGAGTTCAGTGGGCACGGGTCCCTGATATACTCAGAGCTACAGAAGGGATCTGAGTACAATGATTCAGAAGTAATCTACCGAGAAAGGCCTCTTCAGAAAGGGAGGGCAGACTTGGAGCAGGGAAAGAATAAAAGAACAGACCGTTTCTGGTGGAGAATAGGGGTTGGAGTTGCCTTGGTTGGAGGAGAAAATTCTTGGCAGTAGCAGGCCAGACGAAATAACAAACAGGATTCAGTTTTCAGCAACTTAGCTGGAAACCATGAAGATCATGACATATATTACTGAGTAGTGGGCAGGAGGTAGGAGTATGGGTACCTCTGGGCACAAGGGGACCAACTTTCAGGCTTGTCTTTGAATCAGCAGGCAATCTAAGCCATGGTAGGCTACAGAACAACATTGGCTTCCAACAAACTCGTGAACAGTCTGTACATTTCTATGGCTGCTTCCCACCTTTCACTCCATTTTCCAACAACTTTTCTCCCACATCCCTCAGGACTGACCTGGTAAGTTGGAATGTCAACCAATTTTATGCAGTGCAGTAACTGAACAAGAACCCTAGTTTTCCTTTAGTTCAATTATCTATATTTTCTAAGTATAATGTGAATCTGAATGATTTAAATTCAAGCCTACACAAATCAAGACTGAAACCCATTCTAGTAATATTTACTGAGTGCCTACCATATTTTGCTACTGCTCTGTTACACTGATAATAGAGGGATGAGGACAAGTCCCTCTTCAGATATTCTGTCATTGTTCAGTCTGCCTTAGCATCTCAATTCCCTTACCTTGTCTCTTGAGAGTTTCCAGCCATCATTTTCAAGTTTTTCCCATCCTCTGTTATTACCTACTCCTGGGGAATGACGGGCTTCCTTCCTGCCCTGTCCCTAACCTTGCCATGCATACCTTCTCTTTAAACTCTTACTCAGAAAAGTATCCGAAGCATTAAGGCACTGTTTCCAAACTGGACTTTTTGGACACTTGAGGGTACAAAAACAAAAATCTTCCAAGGTCCAAGCAGGAATAGTGCCAAAGGACTGATTCTCTCATCTTCGACTCCCTTAAGAGCTCTTAAAATTGATCTGCCAGAGAAAGTGTCTTTTCCTTTTCCACTTCTCTTTTCATTTTTTTAACAAAGAAAGGCATAGCAAAATCTTGTCACATGGAAGTGTCCAAGAGTGTAAGTTAGTGCCAATGTCAATGTCAGTGTCGAGAAAATAAAGGACTAAGAACTGGATATCAAATCCATTACCAGGTCAGTGGTTTGTTTCTTTCAACACAATTGAAATAGAAGCTAATCAAGCTGTCAGCTAATAGATCAACAAAAATAATTTTGATGATATGTTACTGAATATTTTCTGGCATACAGTTAATTAAAAGTTTAAATAATCTAGTGTTCTTCTATAACAAACTTTCATTCACGGAGCTATGGTACATCAATATCACTTATATGTGAACTAGCTTTCTTAGTGTTTACTCTCTAAAATGAAAATTCAGAATAGAATCAATGCTAGAATCTTTCTCATTGTGGTAATAAGTCTTACAATGCACACAAACATTGGACAAAAGCATAATATACATTATTATGAGATAGTTTTCCAATAAATTTAAAATTTTTTGTACAATATATTTTAGATGTTTTATATATTTATATTTATATTGCTTTAGGTAAATGTATGCTAGTTACATAACAGCTAGAGGAAATATTTTATGAAGCACTCATAGTCTTTAAAGTACAGTAAATGAAAACATAGGTAGATACAGAGAAATCAATAAAAGACTTGCAATTATAAATATATTACAATACCATGAATTATGAGTTTGGTGAAATAAATGATGTAAAATTTCCAGTTTTAAAAAGATGTGCTCATTTATGTATTTGTTTAAGCAAGTATTAGTGGATATCATTACCATAGCATTGATATTTAGATTTTGTTGAATACATAAAGAAGTAATCTAATAGTTTCAATTCTCACAATGCTGTACAAAATTAGACTCTCGGTGGCCACATAAATGTCTGGTAACAAATAGATGTTGTGTCTGCAGTCCTAGCTACACAGGAGGCTGAAGTGAAAGGATTCCTTGAGCTCAGGAGTTCGAGTGCAGCCTGGACAACATAGCAAGAACACATCTTAAAAAAAAAATGATGTCAAGTTAAAACTATGCAACTAGCATATCATTTTTAAAGTTTCATAGAGGAAAATAACATTAAAGACAGGTACTGAAATCACACCAAAAATAAAAATGCTTAATGACATGTGACCCAATCTCAAGTCAGACTTGTAATTTTATCAGTTTTCCTGGAGATGTTAGGTCACTAGCAGTGTTGATAGGAGACTGGAATAGCCTAGAAGAACAGTTGGAAAAATGGCTTCCTCTTTCATTTTCCTGCCTCACCAGCTGCATCAGTTTCCCATTGCTGCTGTAACAAACTGCCACCAATGTGGTGGCTTTTAACAGAGATTTATTGTCTCACAGTTCTGGAGGCCAGAAATCCAAAATCAGTATCACTTGGCTCAATTCAAGAAACAGGCAGAGCTACACTCCCCCGGACGCTCTTGAGAAATTCTTTCTTGGCACTTTTAGCTTCTGATGGCGGCAGGCATTTTTTGTCTTGTGGCCAAATCATTTCAGTCTTTAAGACCAGCATCCTTAAATCTTTTTCTGCTTCATCTTCACATTGCTTCTGTTTCAAATTTCTGTGCATCTGTTTCAAAATTCACTCTGCCTTGGTCTTGTAAAGACCTTTTTGACTGTATTCAAGGCCCACCTGAAATATTCAGGATAAGCCCTCCATCTCAAAGTCCTTAATTTAATCGCATTTGCAAAATACGTGCTGAATGATGTCACATTTACAGATTCCAGGAATTAAGACATGCTTAACTTTTAGGAGGTCCATTTTTTAACCTAGTATACCTCCTGGAAACAAGACTAATTCTAGCACTAAAAATGTATTCAAATGTATATGTAAAATGAATGGAAAAATAACTATTCTCTGGAGCAGAGCTTCATTATCTGTTTTGTACTGAATTTTCTCTCCATTTGGAAATGAATAGTTTCAAACCAACCTTCATACTGCCATGTTGCCTTGCATTATAGTTCAAGCAATCTCCTTGAGTTATTACTTCCTCTTAGTACAATTTCCCTTGAAAGATAAGCTTGTGGGCTCCAGCTTGAGGTCAGAACTTCTGTTATTCACTCATTCAGCAAAAACTGAGAAAAGGTGCTCGGGGCTTAGGAATTTATAATTGTTTCTAAGGGATGTAAGGGAAGAACATGTCCTTGACAAGAAATGAGAATCGAATGCTTGGCATCAGTTTTGAAATCATTCAGAAAGTATTTATCAAATACCAACTGTAATTAAGATCGCTAGGTAATTGAGTACTCAGTTCTGATAACATTTATTTAAGGTGAGAGACAAAACAGCAAAATGAAGAGGAAAAGTGATATAATAATTAATATACCCTTAAGCATCTTCAGTGGTTATAACCTTTGAGGCTATGTTGGTGGTTTGTTGCACCTGTCTTTCAAACCTCTTGTTCTTCCTGTGATTTATTTTAGGCACTCAAGTGGATGAAGACCATGAGAAATTTGAGTGGAGGCCATGTTGAGGACTTTGTCTTGGTGGGTTTCCCTACCGCTCCACCCCTCCAGCTGCTCCTCTTTGTCCTTTTTTTAATAATTTACCTTCTGACATTGTTGGAGAATGCACTCATTGTCATCACAATATGGCTCACTCCAAGCCTTCATCGCCCCATGTACTTTTTCCTTGGCCATCTCTCTCTCCTGGAGCTATGGTACATCAATGTCACCATTCCTCGGCTCTTGGCAGCCTTTCTTACCAGGGATGGTACAGTCTCCTATGTGGGTTGCATGACCCAACTCTACTTCTTTATTGCCTTAGCCTGTACTGAGTGTGTGCTGTTGGCAGTTATGGCCTATGACCGCTACCTGGCCATCTGTGGACCCCTCCGTTACCCTAGTCTCATGCCTTCCAGTCTGGCAACTCGCCTTGCTGCTGCCTCTTGGGGAAGTGGCTTCTTCAGCTCCATGATGAAGCTTCTTTTTATTTCCCAATTGTCCTACTGTGGACCCAACATCATCAACCACTTTTTCTGTGATATTTCCCCACTACTCAACCTTACCTGCTCTGACAAGGAGCAAGCAGAGCTAATAGACTTCCTTCTGGCCTTGGTGATGATTCTACTCCCTCTATTGGCTGTGGTTTCATCATACGCTGCCATCATTGCAGCCATCCTGAGGATCTCTACTTCCCAGGGACGCTGGAAAGCCTTTGCCACGTGTGCCGCTCATCTGGCAGTGGTTGTTATCTACTACTCCTCCACTCTCTTCACCTATGCACGGCCCCGAGCCATGTACACCTTCAACCACAACAAGATGATCTCTGTGCTCTACACTATCATTGTACCATTCCTCAACCCAGCCATCTACTGCTTGAGGAACAAGGAGGTAAAGGATGCCTTCAGGAAGACAGTGATGGGCAGATGTCGCTATCCTAGGGATGTTGCGGATTGATATACAATAGGTCCTGGGAGGGGTGAAAATATGGGAATCTTAGTAGGGCTTCCTGAAGGAATCGGAGTGGGTTTAAAGGGAACATAAATATAACTTGCCAACAGTTTCTCTAAATATTGTCTGGGACCTTCTGACACAAATAAAAGTTTATGAATCATTTAGTCTTTTTTTACAGGGGTTTTCAAACTAAGGCTGGGCTAGCTATGTAAGAATCACTTGGGAATTTGTTAAAATAAAGATTGCCCCCCAAAAAATATGTGGAGAGTCTTACTAAGCATGTCTGGAATATAACCCTGCTATGAATAATTTTCAAAACTTCTTAGGAACTCCTATTTCATAGACAGTTTGGGATTCCCTAGTCTAGATCAAGCCCATTATTTTAGAAGTGAGAATATAACATGAAAATAAAAGGGAACTTACTGGTAGATATGTCACTAAAAAAATTAGGTAGACTTCAATGGAACAATTTCGAAGATCCAGACTCTCAAATCCCACTTTCATAAGAAACTGCACAAGTATGTTATACCCCAAGAACTAAATTTCATGTCATCTAATCAATATCCTTTACCTCTACAAAACTCACATTCATTGAAAGTCAAAGCAGAGAGAGATGCAATGCTGGTATTTAGCCCTATATTCACGACTCAATATGGCTAATATCCTCTCCATCTCCCTTCTTTGAATCTCAGGGGAATATAAAGCTAGTTGACCTAATAAATATTGACCAGGTCGTAGGTAAAATGTTATAGGAAACTTACTCAGATCTTCTTCTTCACTATGGCCAGCACCTGTTTTAACTACTTAGTAACAGGGCCATACCAGTTGTCAAATGTTTTAAATTGAGTTCCCAGTCAAAGGACTGTAAGAACAGAAAATGCCTTTATAAAAAAGAAGATTGAAGAGCCATAGATAGGATGCAGATGTCCCTATGGCAATTAGGATGCCTCAGGTTCATAGCCTGAATTATAGACATCCTAGCAAGTTCCTTTAATTTTTTTGGAAAGTTGCTTGAATTGCTCAGAGAAATTTTTTATATCTTGAATCCAGGCTCATTTATGCATATTGAACCAAATTCAATGATTATTTAGACGTGAGATATGTGAAACAAAAAAATAAACATACAATTGAACAAATTCCAATGAACACAGATTGTTGGGTCAATGCACATTTGCCTGGTTTGAGAGGTTTTGGGGGAGAAAGAGACGTGTGTCCATCAACGGAAACTACTTTATCAACAACCATTTTAGATTTTCCAGTATTAAAAACAAAATAACAATGAAAGATCTGATACTTAAAACAGTTTCAGTTGTTTGTTTTCATGCAATTTCTAAATAGTCTTGGAAACATCTCTGAATATAGCTCAATTTACATTATGTTCTCACCTCCTTTCATAAATTATGAGAGACGTGGAGCTCAGAATTCAGACCCTAGAACTAGCAAATTTCAATTTGATCCTGGCTTTACTAATAACAAGTTATGAGATCATAGGCAAGGAATGTTACATCACTGCTCTTAGTTTCTCTTTGATAACAAAAATAATATCTTTTCCATCATATGGGCTCGTTGTTAATATCAAATAAATAATGCATATGTGGGCAAGGGGTTAGGATTTTCTTTTTTTCTCTTTCTTTGTGGGTTGATTTGATCTTGGGTTAATTTCTAGTTCTGGTTCCCTAGAAACATAATAAACATTACTATGCAACATTGCTTGTAGTACAAATTATCTCTGATCAGTAAACAACCTCTGAACTGGGAGGATGATGAATATGTTATAGATATTTAGTGGGAAATGATAGCTTCAGGCTACTTTTGTAACTTGGCATGCCTTTTGTGGGGAATTCTAGGAGCTATGAAAGCCCATGAAAATGTTACAAGTGATACAGGTGCTTACAGGACTTGAGAATTCCAAGTTAAGGTGGACACTGCACCTCTTGATGGGAATCTTATGTCCTCCTACCTGAGCTGTGACTTTAAATGACAAAGTCTATTCCTTCAACTGCATTCAAGACTTCTTTCCCATAACAGAAACTCCTAAAACTGCCCTTCTGGAACGTTGGATTTACTATCCTGTTTCCCTGAGTTAATTTTATGCCAGGTGAGGGCTTTGCTAGTGTGTGAGTTTGTTTGGTGGAACCTAAGAAGACCTTCTGGCATGTAATACAGTTAACTCACAGTAAGCATTGAATAAATGCCAAGCTTCATCATTATTATCATTTTATTATTACAAATATCATGATATGCTTTCTAATAGATGTGCCCATTCTATTAACCATGTATTAAACTCAGTCTTACTCAAACTGAGGTTGGAGAATTGGCTTTCTCTAAAACATATATAGAAAGGAAAGCTCCAGCCATCTTTGTAACTATGTAGAGTAGGTAACAAGTTGACCAGAAAGTTTAGCATTTCCAATTATATAATCTAAAATTGTGCCAAGATGTCATCAGATTGAGTCAGTGAAGTTCCTCCTTTAAAAAATGATTAAAACATGCTATATCTATAACTCTCCTTATGTCATAGTCATATTTCCCTCATTGGAAGATCACAGTGCTTTTGATTTATTCTTCCTCTACTGTGAGAGATTCCTATAGTGCATTACTTGGTGTTGAGGGTTTCTAGCTGCTTACTACATAGATTTCTTCAAACATTCTGTCTTACTCCAACAATGGTGATTTTAATATAAAACATGCTTTGAAAATGGTTGTTATTTGCAACTCAGTTTCAAATAAGAAAAAAAGTGAGTGTTTTTTAGTTGCCTGGCCAAAAGGGACCTCATTTTTCATTACTAGGATAATCTAATTTTTGAAGCTGAAAACATGCCTACATTGACGCCATATAGCTGATATCTCAGCTTCTCTTGAAACTAAGACTGGCTATGTATCTAATTTTTTCTCAGTAAAATATAAATGGAATTCGGCTGGAGAGGTTGTCTTTTAGAGAGAAAGATGTGTCTGGTGCTGCTGCTAGCATTGTCCCTTGCCCTTTTTTGAACCTGGATCTGACGCCTGGAATTCCAGAAGCCATCTGGAAGGTAATAAATATGGGAGAAAAGGTCAACACACTAAGGGTAGAGATACAGAAATATATGAAAATCATGAGTGTTTCGCAGTATGGCTGAAAAATTGAACTAGGTTGGTGCAAAAGTAATTGCAGTTCTGTACCGTGAATTTTAAACCATTATAACTAGGCTCAAACACATCTCTCTTAAGCAAAATAGGAACCATTACAATCAATATATTTTTGCCAATGAGAAATAAGTTTGCTCATTCCTGTAGTGTAAAATTCCATGCCTCGGGGTTTGATGAACTCTTAGAAAGCATTTTCTTCATCCTGCTGGTTGTGAAAGTGTTTTTCCCGCAAAAAGTTGTCAAGATGCTTGACGAAGTGGTATCTGGTTGGCGACAGGTCAAGTGAATGTGGTGGATAAACTAAAGCTTCGTAGCCCAATTCATTAAACTTTTGAAGCATTGATTGTGTGACATCAGTTGGGCATTGTGGTGGAGAATTGAGCCCTTTCTCTTGACCAATGCTGGCTACAGGTGTTACGGTTTTTATTGCATCTTATTAGTTTGCTGAGCTTACTTCTCAGATGTAATGGTTTTGCTGGGATTCAGAAAGCTGTAGTGGATCAGACAGGAAGCAGATCACCAAACGGTGACGATGACTTTTTCTTGGTGCAAGATTTTGACTTTGCAAAGTGCTTTGGAGCTTCTTCTCGTCTAACCACTGAGCTGGCCTTCGCCGATTGCTATATGAAGTTTACTTTACTTTACAAGTCACAATCTGATCAATAAATGGTTCATTGTTGTTGCATAGCATAAGAGAAGACAACACTTCCAAATGACTATTTGTTTTTATTTTCACTCAGCTCAAGGGCGCTCACTTACCAAGTTTTTTCACCTTTCCAATTTGTTCAAATGCCAAACAATCAGAGAATGGTCTACGTTGAGTTCTTTGGCAACTTCTCATGTACTGTAGTTGTAAAAGGGTCGGCTTTGATGATTGCTCTCAATTTGTTGTTGTCAACTTCTGATAGCCGGCCACTATGTTCCTCATCGTCAAGCCTCTCGTCTCCTTTGCAAAACTTCTTGAACCACCACTACACTGCACATTCGTTAGCAGTTCCTGGGTCAAATGTGTTGCTGATGTTGCAAGTTGTCTCTGCTGCTTTACGGCTCATTGTGAACTTGAATAAGAAAATTACTTTAATTTGCTCTTTGTCTAACATAATTTCCACAGCCTAAAATAAACATAAAATAAACAGCATAGTGGCCGGCTATCAGAAGTTGACAACGACAAATTGTTGCCATTTTGTTACTGGCTGGTTTTCTTCTCCTTTATTTGACATGGTTTCTTCATTGCATCATTGTTCTTTACCATTTGGTACATTTTTTGCAGTGGCTAGTACTAGTTGTTCCTTTCCCTGTTTAGTATTTCCTTCAGTAGCTCTTGTAAGGCAGGTCTTGCAGTGACAAAATCTCTCAGCAATTGCTTGTCCACAAAGGATTTTATTTCTCCTTCACTTATGAAGCTTAGTTTGGCCAGATATGAAATTCTGGGTTGAAAGTTCTTTTCTTTAAGGATGTTGAATATTGGACCCCATTCCCTTCTAGCTTTCAGGGTTTCTGCTGAGAGATCCGCTGTGAGTCTGATGGGCTTCCCTTTGTGGGTACACCAACCTTTCTCTCTGGCTGCCCTTAGGATATTTTTCTTCATTTCAACCTTGGTGAATCTGACAATTATGTGCCTTGGGTTTGCTCTCCTTGAGGAGTATCTTTGTGGTGTTCTCTGTATTTCCTGGATTTGAATGTAGGCCTGCCTTGTTAGGTTGGGAAAGTTCTCTTGGATAATATCTTGAAGAGTATTTTCCAACTTGGATTCATTCTCCCCGTCACATTCAGGTATGCTGATCAAGCATAGATTAAGTCTTTTCACATAATCTCATAGTTCTTGGAGGCTGTGTTCATTTTTTTTCACTCTTTTTTCTTTAATCTTGCCTTCTCATTTTATTTCATTGATTTGATCTTCTGTCTCTGATCAATTCAGCTGTTGACACTTGTGTATGCCTCGTGAAGTTCTCGTGCTGTGTTTTTCAGCTCCATCAAGTCGTTTATGTTCTACTCTAAGCTTGTTATTCTAGTTAGCATTTAGTCTGACCTTTTTTCAAGGTTCTTAGTTTCTTTGAATTGGGTTAGAACATGGTCTTTTAACTCAGAGAAGTTTATTACCCACCTTCTGAAGCCTACTTCTGTCAATTCATCAAATTCATTCTCTTTTTTTGTTCCCTTGA